ACGACCACGACGACCACGACGACCACGACGACCACGACGACCACGACCACGACCACGACTACGATTACGACTACGACTACGACTACGACTACGACTACTTCTTCTACTACTACTACCACCACCACCACCACGACTACTACTACTACTACTACCACCACCACCACCACTACCACTAAGTTCCTCTCCATGCCATCATCACTCCTGTCAAGCAAGGGGAGGTGAATCGGAAGCCCCACAATTTGGAAGTATCAAACGACTCACCGTGATCGCCGCCAGCTGCGGCCTGTAGACCGTCCGGCCTCAGGCGGGGCTGATGCCGCTGGCGGTTCCCCGGCGGCTGACACTCCGGACCTGGGCCCCTTACGGCGTGGCAGGCCCAGTGTCTGGGCCTGCAGGACCCTCACGGTGGTGCCAATGTACACCACGCGAGCGCCGCGTGGCCTCCAAGGTGGACTCCACTGCATGATAGTTCAAAGCAAGTTTGTGCAAAAAGCAAGACCCCTAGTTTCATAGCACCGGGCTGGGTTAGATCAAAGATCTCGGGATACTCTCGCCCAACTCTTTCCTCACTCTGTGGGACACTCTGGCAGGACACTCTTGTAGGACACTCTTCTAAGACACTCTTGTGGACTCTTGCGCAACACTCTTGCAAAACACTCTTGTGGGACACTCACGTACGACGACCCGCTACCCGTAGTACATTTGTACTACCAAGTGGCCCTGCTTCCCGCATCCCTTGTCTGCCAAAAGCTGCCATCTGCATTTGTACTACCAAGTGGCCAGTTCTGAGGCCGCAGCTAAAATTGCCAGTTCTGAGGCGCGAGGGACCAGAAGCCGCTTCCCATACTACTGCTTCCCGCAATACATGTGTGCTACAAGTTGCCACTTCTGAGTGGCCCTCACTCTTCTATACAACACTCTTGCGGGACACTTCTATAAAACACTCTTGTGGGACACCCTTCTACGACGCTCGTAGGACACTCTTGTGGGACACTCTTGTAGGACAATCTTGTCGGCCACTCTTGTCGGAAATTCTTGCGGAAAAGTCTTGTGGGACACTCCTGTAGGACACTCTGGCGGGAAACTCTTGCGGGACACTCTTGTAGGATGCATTCTTGTTGGAAACCGTTGTGGGACACTCTCGTGCACTGTTGGGCGTCGCAAGCTGCAAAAATTCTGGACCCATTCAAGTTGCCCCTTTTGGGGGGAAAAACTCTCTGCCCACGACGCTCGGCGCTCTCACCACTCAAGGCCATTAATTGTGGTTCCCACACTAGCATTCAACAATCACGAAACCCTCAGTTTGCGAAAATCAATCAACTCAGCGTGGTCGCCTCCTGCCTCGCCGCATACATACCCCGAGAGAAACTTGATATGCCGCCCGTCAAGTCTCAAGTTTGAATTCAAGTGAAACCAAAAGCCACAGTAGAACTGGATGGCATCGGCTGCAGCCATCGGCCGGCAGGGAATGGTGCTCCTGGATGGGACTAGAAGCCACCGCGACCATGCTGCTTAGCTACTAGGCATGAATGACATGAATGAAAAATGATTGCAAAACCCTCAATTTGGGAAAATCACTCGATTCACCGCGATGGAGGCAAGCCTCGCCGCGTACTTGGTGCGGCCTTGGGCGCGGCAGGATCCGGCCGGCGAGAAAGAAAACCCTTGAGCCATTGGGAACCTAAACCTGCAACCTGTCCAGCGTGGAGGACGGAGGGAAAGCTCCACATTTTGACGTGTTTCGAAGGTCTCATCAAGATGGTCGGCAGCCTTGGCGCGTACAATGTCCGACCTTAGCTGCGGCCAGCACGTCCGTTTCGCGGGCAACACGATCTAGCAGGCGTGGTCTAGCGCCATGGACATCTTGCAGCGGCATCCTGCAGCACTCTGGAGACCGGTCCGCTCACAAGACCCCGGAAAAACGGGCGCATGCGCGGGCGCATGGCCGGGGGTATCTACACCTCACGCGGCGGGGGAGGCCCAACGTGCGGACGTGTAGTACGCGCACCGTGGTGCCCACGTACACCACGCGTCCTGCGGTCCTGAACGCTCCACAAGGAAGATCTACTAAGATCTTTACTTGGGTTCGGTGACTGGGGAATATGGGTCTAATGACAAGTGACATGGTCGGTTGGAATGGTGTAGGTAATCATACTTCTGATTCCTAAGGTCTCACCAAGATGGTGGGCAGCCTGGGCACGTGCAACATCCGACCTCAGTTCGGACAAGCACCCGGCCGGCCTCAGCGTGCATGGGTTGGTTGCGTGGGGCGCTTGTAACTCATCGAAAGACCCCAGCATAGACCCACATATAGTGGGCAGCACCTATGAGCACTGTGTTTTTTTAAATTTGGCGTAGACGTGATCTAGCAGAGGCACCAGTATCCAAGCTCTAAAGCGCGCACGACCATACACATATCTGGCACCACATCCTGCACCCATTCTGCAGCGGCACCAGCGCCCAAGTTCCAAAGCGCGCGCCCACTATCCGGAAGGCATCCTGGAGCCGCCTTGCAGCGGCGCAACAGCACCCTTGTGGGCCATACACACCTGGCCGGCACCAGCATACAAGCTCCAATGCGCACACAACAATACCCCAGCACACGGGCACACGGAGGCACGCGTGCACCGAGGCACGGGCACAGGGACACGATGTTGATGATGATGCGTTGACGGGCATGACGACGGTGATAGGACACACACGCTCTTTGGTGATGATGATGATGATGATGATGATGATGTTCACTCTAATGGTGCTATGTTGGCAGTGCTCATGAAAAAATGACGATAAACAAAGTTGACGGTGGCGACGATGGTGTAAGTGTATTTTGCTTCCACAAGACGACTCTAAAGTGACTTTCAAGAAAGCTCACGAGAGCACACAAAAGTATTTGATCCAAGGATTCTTGTACAGCGACATGTCCATTACAGTGTATATTCCATTGCATTTCCCGTGGCGCAGCCTCTGAATATCGGGGGTAATGTTGAAGATGACCGTGATGATTTCGATGGTGTTGAGGATTTCAGTTGCAATGGTGGTGATTATGATTATATGATGATTACACTAAGTGCAACCAAACGGTATTTCCAGGCCAGGCGGGCACACAACCTCCTGCTCGGGCACAGCATGTACCCCGGCACCATGGCAGGTCTTCAGCGTCTAAGCTTCAAAGAGCACACAGCCATGGACATCTAGCAGCGGCGCCAGCACACAAGCTCCAAAGCGCAGCAGCATCCTGCGGCATGAACACCCACAGCCCCCCCAAAGCGCGGCACACGCACATCTTCCCTCTCGCTATATAGAGAAAATCAGCAGCAATTCAGAATGATCACAAACACCGATGATGTCGTCACTATTGGGCCAAGGCCAAGGTCCGGGTTGACAGAACTCGGACGTTGGTGCCTACGTACACCACTCCACCGTGAAAAATCGACTAACATCTATACTTGGGTCCCGTGACTTTGGAAATATGGGTCTGGTGACATGGCCGGTTGGAATGGCGTGGGTCATCTGAGATACTTCTGCCTCTGCCATGTTGTCCGCTGACAAGCTGGCTGGTGTGAAATGCACTGTGGAGTTTCAACTTCAACAGCGATCAGAATGATCAAACACCATACTACACGCCGTCTACGCGTGGCAGGCCAAATACTAAACTCTAATGATCGTTCCCGACGCAGACCACGCGGACGGACATATTGACCGAGTTGGAGTGGTCGTAGCGGTCAATGTAGATGGTCCGTTGGCCATTGCAGTTGTTTCGTTGGACCCCTTGCGCACGTGTGGCCGCCATCCCTCGCGTGTAAAGGATCGCGTTCATGGAAACAAAAGGATTAAGGGGGTCATTTACCCTGTTGCTTCAAGTGAATGAAATGAAATCTCATGCAGCATCCTTTCCTCCGTACAGTGCCTTATTGGATAAAATCTACAGTTCTATGAATTTATGGCCCTTGCCCTTTGCAGGCTAAATTAACTAAGTGAAATTGTCCAATCAGCATTTTGAACACATTTTTATGCAATGCGGAACGTTCCTAGCCGTATGACTCCATAAGTGTTTGTTTTCTACTGTAGTCATTTCTCCGTGTGGAGTCTTTTTGCGAAACAGAATCTATACAAGGATAAAAGAGTCCTGGAACGTTCTCCTTGAGAAAAAAAGACCAAGTCCTGCAGCTGCCACCTTCCCAACCTACTCCACCAGTTCATGGTCAAACATGGTCGGGCCTGAACTCCATCTCTTCCCGTCCCATCCGGTCCCATCCCGTCCCACTCTTTCGCGCCCCGCACGGGAAAACGAAACGACCTCGATCGACCGCCACATGGCCTTCATCTGGTCAAACATCACTCCAGGACTGTTGGGGCAACGGGCGTGCTTCAACCTGAAACAGAGGTCGCCACGACCGGAAGAGGACGGAAGAACAGGCCTCAGAGTGGTCCGGTGGGTCCCATGAGGGCCCGTTGGCGGGGTTTGCTTGCGCTTCCGGGACTTTTGACAGCGATTTTGCCAGCAACTTGCCAGAAGGCCGAAGGTTGAGCCTTAACAGAGGAAGTAAACATGCAAGGAAGAGTGGCAACATGTCGACTGCCATCTCATTTTTGGGGGCAGCAAACCTTCTTTCGCATCCATCCACCTCCATCCACAGCATCCGAACCGGAAGCCTCCCATTTTCCCGGCCTGTGGTCTCTCAGCATGGAATAGGACTGATAGGAGCCGCCTATGGAGTCGGACCATGTTCCCGATCGCGCGCCCCCCCCCCCCCCACACCATCGAAGGCAGTCTTGAGTCATGGCATGGCTCCAAGCAGCTTCGAATCAAGCACCGGCTGCTCCGAGTGCTCAGCTAGCAGTACATCCAAAAGGTCGAGCGAACCAAGGAGAACCAAGGAACATTGACACTGCCCGACAAATCTGCACATTCGAGCCCTCTGAAGGTGGGAAGCAAACATGCATTGCCACCATATCTATACCTGAAATGTTTAGGACTTGGGTGCAAATGTGTGACGCAAAAACACCCAAAACCAAAAATTACACCACCGTAGACCCCAAACAGTTTGTGTTTTTCAACATCGAAACTAGAGCTTGGACAAGGGATTGCGCAAGGCAGAGGCGGCCACAGCAGCCCAGAGCTGGGAGACAAATGTAAAGGGTTGCAAGGCAGAGACGGACACAGCCGTACAGAGCAGGCGGACATATCTTAAGAAAAGAATTGAGAAGCCCTAAACCTTTTGGGGAATTATTCTTCAAGTGCGAACATGATGCTGGTCATGCTGCTCAATCAGCGGGGAGCTGACCACGTGAGGACAAGAAACAAAAGCATGAGGAGCGAAGGATGTGACATGAAATTGATTTTTGGTGCCTGACGTATGCCCTCCGTCCCAACTGAACAGAGAGATCGCTGCCACGCCGCCGAAATCCAATCCGGTCATTCATCCAACGCTTGCCCGAAAAGGAAAACAAAGCTGAGAG